TAGCCAAAATAGTTATCTCTAATGTATTCATTAAAAGATAACAACATGGATATACAATCCAACATACAACCATAATTTGGAATCTCCGGTGATTCCCAACATTTAGAAACAATCCATATTTCACATTTTAAAGACAAATTTTCAAGACTTATATAACTTTCCATTAAACTCAACATTTCAATAGAGTAACCAATACTTGATATTCCAAAAGTTTCATGTCCAATCAAATCCTCAATTTTAAAACCAAACAAAATCTTTTCTCAATAATCCAACAACTCCTAAAACATTAACACTTAGGATTTTTCACAAATTGGGATTTCTTCACTTTTATATACCCACTTGCAATTTTATATACATAAAATACATTAAAGAGCAAGATTATAGGTAATCAACTCCCAATTTAACCAAACCTTCAATTTACAATTTAAATATCTCATACTTATTGAATATTACCATTTCCATCCTACTATATTAAAAGCTATGGTATAATCTCAATAACAAACTTTTAATCATAACGGATATAAACTTTTAACCAAACTAATTTAATCCACTAAATTGGTAAATTTATTATATTCACATTTCTCAAAAGAAACAATACCAAACATAACTTAACATGTCTCATCTTTCAAACACAACCATATTTCATGCCAAGCTACTCAAATAGCCAATCTTTCCCAACTCTCTACAAATAATAATTTTCATAACTTTTCTAAAATTAATTAATCACATGATATTTACATCAAAAATCATGAAATTGTCCAAGAGTAAACTATTTGAGATTAGGAGTTCGAAAGTCCAAATTTCATCATTTCATTTTCACAAAAATGAACAAAACATAATCATCAATATATATCACCATTCATAAAATATCATGAATACAACACTTTTAGAGTTTTTAATCCCAAAGAACTCTATAATTCCAATTTAATAATTTACACAATATTTATCAACATTAATTTATTTTTCTCAAAAATAAATTCCAAAATCAAAGATGGAAAATATTTCAGCTTTATATTTCTCAAAATAAATTGTCTAATCATAATATGATGTAGATACAACTCATACAACTATTAATTTTATTTTTAGATTTTTAACAAAATTACCAACACAAGATGATTTTCCCAAATCAGTTATAAAATGCCAATATTCTTAATATTTCAACATAATTTTTCTACTAAAAATTATCCAAACAAAAATTTGAAATATATATATATATATGCAATACCTCCTATAATAATATATTTTTTCAAAATATCCCTAACACAGCCTTAAAGTAATAATATGAAGAAAGTCCCTACCTCATATAATGAAGAGGAGCAAATTCGAAAAGGAAACCTCGTCCAATCATGAATCTGAAACTACAATTGTGAAGATCACAACAAGCTCTCCGAGAGAGAGCATGGGGAGAACCTTGCGTGGGTTCGTTTCCCTAAGGCACCCATCCTAACATCACACAATTTAATACAAAATATATGATAATAATGCCTTTAAAATTTCGTAACATAAATTATAAAATGATATAATTTTTTTTTTCACCACAAAATATAATATTTTTGTACACCACAAAATATAATCTTTTGCCCACTATGAAATATACACCCATTTTATTCACTATAAAAATATATAATTTTTCATCATATGACACACACCATAAATTCAACTTTCAAATATATATTATAATCATAAAAATAATAACAACTCCCATGGTGGTCAATACTAATTACATAATTAAAATGACCAAACAGTTAAAAATGAGTAATTAAACAAACTCAAATTAAATTAAATCTAAGTCATGGGTCTAAACACCCAAAATTCGATAACAAAATTCTACTTTAATACTAAACTGAACACCAATCGGTCCGCGGATTTTCATAAAATAAATACTCATTATTTAATTTTGAAATGTTTATCCAACATGCTAGACTCATATGGGAACAACGTATAAAAATTTCATAATTTTCTGAGAATGGGAACTATTTGAAAAAATAAAAATAAAACTGAACTGTTTTCATACAGAATTTACACAGCAATCCCAATCCGAAAATTGCTCAATTAAATTATGTACTGACTATTTATAAAAATTATAAAAAAGGTCATACAATGGGGGAGGCAGATATATGTTTCCGAAATCCCATATTTAATGTTCATCCCTACAAAGAACCACCATATGATCTTTTGTGTTAGAACAATGTAGTATATGCTAATGTCTTCAATAACGCTTCCCGACTCTACATGCATTTCTTTATAACTTTCGTCACAAAGTAGTATATTTATTGATATTCTTTAAATACTCATGGAGTAGTGGATGCATGTATCTCATAGTTGATATTAATTTTATGAAACATGGAATACTTTTCACCCTGATTAAGGGCTGGTTTGGCTTATTCTATATAAGTCAAAAAGTCAAAAAGTTACTCCAAAATCCAAAAAGATATCACTATTCACAAAAAAAAAAATTAAAAAATCAATTTTCTTCAAAATCACTATTCACCGAATTGATGTGTGCGACAGTGCTGGGTGCGGCAGTGGAGGAAAAAGAAATGATTGGGTGTGGTTTTTACACACACCGTTGTTCGTCCCATGGAGATCATCACGGGTCCCGTTTTGATAATCTGAACCGTTCAATATGTAGAAATCGCCAAGTACTATATGTCTGCAAAAAATCACATTGATCGGATATCAATAACTATATGATCAAATCAGTTATGTACAACAAATGGATGGTGTTATAATTAATGATTGAAAAATAAATAAATCTGATCAGATAGCTATCGATATCCGATTAACGTGATTTTTTATAGATACATAGTGTTCGACGAGTTACACACATTGAACGGTTCAGATTATTAAAATGGGACCCGTGATGACTCCCACGGACCAAACAAAACCGTCCAATGCTTTGTACAAAAATTAGCCAATAATTTCCAACCCCAATTCACTCTAGCCGGTTGTAAGGCTGGGGCCCACCCCTCTCTAATCATCTCTTACACATTTTTTTTGTACAATTTTTTAATACACATTTTTCTATAAAAAGTCAAAAAGTTAACCCAAACCTCCATATTTTTTTCTCAACTTTTTTAGTCTAAAAAGACAAAAAGTGAACTTTTTTAAGACACCCCAAACCAGCCCTAAAACTTTGGGGGTAAAAAAATATGTAAGTTTTCATCGAAAAATTATTATAAAAATTTTAGGAGGTAGATTCCCTTCAATCTAAAATTTGGACTGGAGGTAGGAATGGCAATTTGAACCCGACCTAATGGGGATCCGGTCCCACCAACCCCGATTAGAATGGTTTTTTCTGACAAATTTCGAAACGGGGATGGTGATACGTTCCCCATCCCTGTCCCAGTTTCCCCTAATGTGAAATTACTATTATACCCCTCTCTATATGTATATAAACCAAACCCTAAAACACAACTCACACTCACACACAAGACTGACCGCCTCTACCTCTCATCTCTCTCTTAGTTTCTCTCTCTCTCTCAAAGCCTCCCATCACTGCCGACCTCCTTTCTTCTGCTGTCCTCCTTTCCCTCCTCCTCCGCTGTCCTCCACTCCCTCCTTCCATCACCACTGATCTCCCTCCTCTTCCGCTGTCTTCAGCGAGAGAGAGCTGTGGTTAGGGTTTCCAATCTCGGTGAAAGTGAATTCATATCAAGCAAACTAACTGATGCCTTTTTGAAACTGTTGCTGAGTTGAATTTCCATCTTAAGAAGCTAGGGTTTATGCTTGGGGTTGCAACATATTGTTATGCGACTTCGGACTTCGATCTTCACTCATCATCTTCCTTCCCAAGGTACTCTCTCTCTCGCTCTCTCTCTCTTCTAAGTTTTGTATACATATTTGTAATTGTGATTATACGATCTTAAATTGTATATATATGTAAAACAGAGCAAAAAAATTAGGGTTCATTGTTGTATATGTTCAAATAAAGGGGCAAAAATTGATATTCTATTCTTTTCTTTATATATATATATATATGTATTCTGGTTGAATAATCGACAAGTTTGAATATTGCCCTTGTAAGTAGCAAACTACTAGATTCCTTTTTCATATGTTGGTGGAAATGTTTGACATTAGTGATTGATTTGGTATTTCTCTCTGTTTTATGTTTGTTTTCCTATTTCTCTGTGGTGTCTTAATATGTTGCTTGAATTAATTTGCAAGTTGGTAATTGTTCAAGTGAATCTGGTCCAATGTGTATTGTCGGGGATTTTTTGGGGTCGGGGAAACCCGATCCCCGTTAGGAGCTAGGGGTGGGGGGTGATTGGTTCCCTGCCAGGGATCGAGGGCGATCAGGGATCGAGGGCGGGGGTGGGGACGAGGACAGGGAGTCACTACAACAAAATGCACCTTTGGAGACCAAAATTGGCGACTAAAAAAAGTTTAGTCGCCAAAAGTTGTGGAATTGGCAACCAAAAGTTTTTGTAGTAAGCAAAAGTAAAATATTTAGCTACTAATTTTTCTTAGTCAGGGTATATTGGTTATTGGCGACTAAAAAAAATCTAGTCACTAAAAATGCCAAAATTGGCGATAAAAAAAATTTTATTCGCCGAATGGAAAATAAAAATAAAAAAATTGATCGCCAAAAGTTTATTTTCAGTGACAAAAAAGAATTTTAGTTGCCGTATATTGAGTTTTGGCTACTAAAACCATTTAGTCACCGAATGGAAAATAAAAAATTATTTTTTACCTTTGGCGACCAAAATTTTAGTCATCAAAAGTTTATTTTCAGCGACAAAAAAGAATTTTAGTCGTCGTATATTGAGTTTTGGTTACTAAAACTATTTAGTCGCCGAATGAAAAATAAAAAATTATTTTTTACCTTTGGCAACCAAACTTTTGGTCGCTAAAAGTTTATTTTCAATGACAAAAAAAAAATTTAGTCGCCAAAGAACAAAAATTTTTGGAGGGAGACATTTCAAATATTTTGGAAGGATTTATAAAATACTTTCAGTGACTAAAAAATTTTAGTCGCCAATAACCATCTATATAAAATATCTCACCCTCTCTCATCTCTCTTTCTCTCATTCCATAGAGAGCTGTCCGCCACCATCGCAAGGAGCACCCATCTCTGACCAGCCACCGTCGCACACGAGCACCCATCTCCGACCAACGACAATACCACATCACACACCGTGGACAGTTGGTATTTCTTCTTCCTCTTCCTCTTCTTCTTCTTCTTCCCATTCCCCTTCCCCTTCCCCCTCCTCTTCCCCTGTCTCTGTCTTTGTCTCTCTCTCTCTCTGAAATTTTTTTGGGTGCAAGCGTTTGAATTTGTAAATAGAATGAGAAGATGAAGGGGAGCTAAAAGGAATCATTCACTGATCACCGCCATCGCGACGCCGCTGACCAACTCTCATCTTGCCGTCATCTTCTCTCGACGAAACCACCGATCACCTTTCATTTCCTCTCACCCTCCTCTTGCAAGGTAAATTACAACTTCCGTCTCTATCCTCTTGTTTCTGATTGCTTGAATCTGGATATGTTTGTGGGTTTGTAAAGTTTAATCTAGATATTTTTTGGATCTAACGTGGTTTTGATTTCTGACATTTCATATCCTTTTTTTATTTGCCCTTTCTAAATCTCTACTTAAATTGATACTCCAAACACAGCCGTAGTGTTTTAGATCCATATGATAATTCCGACTCTTAAACACATGTTTTTTTTCTCTTTATAAATACTCCATGTATCATATCAGATATGATTCAATTTTTAATTATGATATATATATAGTTGATTAGATTGAGGAGAAAGTGTTTTGAGCATGAAATCGATTGTAATTAAGTGTAGGTGTGGCCTCCACTTGGATTGAAGAAGTTCAAGACCCTGTCTTACCTTCCTCCACTCTCTCTTATACAATTGGGAAAAGAAGTTGATTACCTTATTCGCCTGGCATGGATTCCTTGCTTAGAATTCTCTGTTGAGGTTATTTCTACCTCTTTCTTTCTTTTTTCTTCTCAACCCATTTTCTGTAGCGTGTGTGGCTTTTGCACTTCAACTCTAGCATAAAATTGTTTTTCAATTTTTTTTTGTTTTTGTTAATAACCTAGTAAGTTGCGTCTAAAGATGCTTCTCTGCTTCAAAGGAAAAGTGTAAACTGAAAAATAAAAACAAACAGTTATGCAGCGGAATAAAATCATCAGATCATACCTTTTGATGATAAAACCTCGTGGATAAATCACGTGCTTCCAGATTCAGATCAATCAATCCCAGCAGTGGGGTGATATTACAATGGTGAATATCACCCACACAAACCACAGTGCAACTGCCTTGATCGTTGTGTTTTTTGGGAGAGAGTCAGTGTATGGGTTGAAACAGACTCAACGTTGTTTCTCTTGGATTACCCATAACCATATAACAAATATTTAATATATTATAATATCTATCCATATCAGTTAAGATACAGATAATATCTAATATATATTATATCTATCTATATCAGTTCAAACTGATAATGTCTGTTTCAAGAGTGGTTATCCTAAATAGGTTTGATTTTAAAATCAAAACCTATTTGGATAAGGATTCAAAATCAAATTTAATGGTCATGCCACATGGGCGCCCATTACTAACAAAAAGGATAGTATTGTGCAAGCCTCATTGCCTATTTATTTTATTTTTTGGATGTGTATGAGAATAAACAATCAAAAGTTAATCGTAATGTTAGCTTGGTTCTTCCTTTGAATGACAAAAAAAGAAGAAATTAAACTATAGTTTGACAAATAATTCAATTAGAAGAAAGAATTGTACCTTACTGCTACTCTTATAAAACTCTTATAGAATTTTCTGCAGGGGTTTATTAAGTTAAATCTTGCAATTTAATCAGTAATGGGTTCTGGAGATTGGTTTAAGAATATAATTAGCTTAAAAAAAGGGAAGGATGCAATTTGTTCTTTTACAATTTGTTGCTTTGTAACACAGAGAAGTTGAATTTGAAAAGTGCAAATGAATATAAATACTTGAGGCAAAGCAATTGCTATTCAATTTCTGGGGTTGATGATGCTTAGCAGTTTCGCATCGTAATGGTATTTTTCCCTTTTAGAGTCTCATTTTTCCCTTTCCCCTTGAAGTTTAGAAATAGGGGTTGATTTATATATGAACGTCGTTGTGTCTTTTTTCACTCTTCAGGAAGCTCTGGATATTGTTCGTGTTAGCAAAGAGGATCAAGAAAGTGTATTTAAGTGCTCACTGCAGTTTTGTGGTTGGGGAATGTCTCCTTTACAGTGATTGATAATGAAAACCATGTTGAACCTGTGGCAGATAAAGGTAACAATCTACTAACAGGATCAAGTTTAACAGTTGCATGGTTGTTTTGTTCATTTGATTTATTATTATTTATTTTTCTTCTAACTGATTTATTGGTTGTAAGTAGCAACACCACTAAATTGCTGGGCAAACGATCAGTGAACTGTTTCTGCTCACTAATCATGTTGAATTTGAATGAACAATCCTATTTATTGCAGTTTGGACATAGTAATCCATACTAGCCCTCCTTGAGCATGTTGCTCTTGAGTATGACCCCATGCACCTCAGTTCAGGGGTTCAAATGCTAGTGACGGATTACTAAAATTGGACATGGCAATCCTTGTTGTAGTGAAGAGGTTTTGAAACCCCTTTAGAAAATATTGCATTGCTGATGGTACTTCATGAATCCCATCAGCTATTCTTACAATCAAATCAAAAATTTAGAAAACAAGCTCATAGGATTTTGGAAGAGGGAGGGGAACTATTAATAGATTAGATTGATTATTGATATTTGCTGATATCTACTAGGGTGAATCTTTTATAGAGTAATTAAGTGTGTAAGAGCATCCACTGGTGTGTGTTTTTATCCCGGCAAACATGAGATTGAACTAAAAGTATTGTTGTTTGGATTTTGCAATGAAGCATGGAGCATCACCTACATCTATTGAAAAATCATTTATGTTCATGATTTTAGGAATAGGTAATAAAGTGGAGTTTTTGCATTTGAACGTGTAGAAAAATTGTATTAATAGGTAGAAAGTTAGAATTATTAATTTTATAATTGTAATAATTTGCAGAGTATATATCAGAATTATTAATTTTACAATTGTTATAATTTGAAATGTCAATTTTATTGAATAAGTGCTAATGGTTATTTATTTTTTATTTTTTTTACAGATTGCTTTTGTGTGGGTTATTGTGGATATTTATTTTTTTGTATGAAGAGCATCTGTTCTGTAAATGGAAGACATTTATTTTTCAACAATCCCCTGTATTGAAAATCCAGCGTTTTTGGATGTAATATTTAATTTAGATGGATTATACTTGGTTGGTATGAGTTTATATGAGATTTGAAATAAGGTGTTACAAGTTAAAGTTTTTGGATAGTTGATAATGAAATGGATATTATTGATAATGGATTTAGATTATAATTGATAAATGTATTATTCTGTATATGTACAAGTACAGGGTGCATTGATAATGGAATGCATATAATTTAGAAATTAATGAAAAATATTCAATTTGTGCATTTAAAAAAAATAATAATAAATAAAGCTTTTGGCGACTAAACATTTAGTAGCCAAAAAATAAAAAGGGAACTTATTGGTGACTAAACAGTTAGTAGCAAAAAAAAAATTGAAATTTTTGGCGACTAAAATATTAGTAGCTAAAAAGGAGCACTATGATTTTCGCAACTAAAAAATTGGTAGCCAAACAGGAGTGCTATGTTTTTAGCAACTAAAAAATTGGTAGCTAAAAAGGAGTGCCATGTTTTTAACGACTAAAAAATTGGTAGCTAAAAAACTGAAGATGAAAAATATTTTTTTTTTGGCAACTAAATATTTTCTTTTGGGCAACTAAAAAAAATTAGCCGCCAATTCTTTTGCTGACAATTAGTCAATGACCAAACAGGCGACCAAGAATTTTAGTCGATAAAAATCTTTGGCAACTAAAAAATGACTTTTAGCAACTAAAAATTTAATCGCCAAAAGTGTAATTTGTTGTTGTGAGTTTTTTACATTCAGAGATCGGGGACTGGAAGTGTAATCCCTGGCCTTGCCCCGGCCCATTGACATTCCTAACTGGAAATGCTATTTAGATCCTTGGCCTATTACGGGTTCCGTTTCAATTATTCAAATCGTTCATTTTGTTGGACATTTTGTGTATTTCGTTCATACAAAAAATTAAGTCGATTTGATAACTTTAACTTATTTAATTTATCGCGTTTTTTACTAGTAAAATAGATAACAATTGTGTTTTAAAAAATAAACTGTACATTGTTTTAATAACAAACGTAATTAATTGAACAAGTTACAATTATTGAATCAATTTAAATTTTTTTTTTTTTTGTAAATGAAATATATGAAGTATCCAACAAAATGAACAGTATAGATTATCAAAACAGAGCCCGTAACAAGCCCCACATGCCCAGACAGTGCCTTCTAGTCCATATTTTGGATTGAAGGGGATCCTCTTCCAAATTTTATGTTGGAAAATTGGTTTATATAGGCTTATTTTGGGCCGACTTTGAGCCCAAAATTGAGTGGGCGCCAAACGTCTTTTGAGGCGGGTCCGAAGAGGTGAAGTGTTCCTTGTCGCATGACAAGTCACACGGTGAAGACGGTTCGTCAAAACCATTTATGAGTGAATAGGAAGTTGACGTCGTTTTCGGGTTCGAGGAATGGACATTTAAAGATTTGCATGTGGGTTTCCTTTTAATAGGTTGTCCCACATTGAAACTTTAAAAGAGTTTATTTGTGTATATAAGCTCTAGCCTACAACACTTGGGTTGGGCCCCAAGGGGCACCCTTAGTTTTTAGAAGGGAGGAGTTATGGACAAAGTGTACCTTAGCCCAAACCACCACACACGCGCGCGCCACCGCCGTCCGTCCTGCCGGGTGTGGATTGTGGGTCGGGTTGGTTCTAATATTAATTTTTGGATAAAATTTATTTGAATTTTTTCCAGAAAAAATCTAAATGAAATTTAATTCAATTTGAATTTAAATTTTCTGTCCATGTTTTATGTCTCTTCCAATCCGAATTCTGCTTATTAAATTGTTTGAACAGTGCTAATAACTGCCCAGCAGTTACTGTTTTGTAACTGCCGAACAGATTCAAAAATCTGGCTGCAAATCTGTTTGTTTTAAAACTGCATCTGTTCAAAAATAGTTTACACATGTTCACTACAAATTTGTACTTGTTCGGGTCTATATATTGTAGACTTGTTCCTACAGATTCTGGTTGATAAAAAACATCCAAAATTCTGTCCAAAGGTTTGTTGAAATTTAGACAGATTCTAGATCTGTCCAGTTTTCATTTTGGATCTGTACAGAATAGTTTCGTATCTGTACAGGCAGTTTACACACCTGATCGGACAGATTTATTTGCCTATAAATTCCAACATTCCAGCAATGTTTTTGCATCCGAAAATCAGTCTGCAATTTGTGCTTTTGCTGTCCAGATTTTATTCTTTGCATTTTAATCTTCATTCTAGTTTTAAAGATAATTTAAAGAGAATATAAGAACACAAGGTTCTTGTTCGCCATGCAAATTTGTGTGGAGTGCTACTACAAGTTTGTGAAGATCATTGTATCTTGGGAGATAGACGCCACTCAACCGTAAGCACTATAGCGGAGTGAATCTGTTTTAAGGACAGAGTGTCACACACTCGACTTGGTCTTTAATTATTTATTCGGTTCAACAAAATAAATTCTATAAGTTTTATTTTATTTTGTTTGAATTAGTTTCAATTTATTTTATTTACACAGAAGATTGTTCCAACAATCTTAAGACATATTCGAATTATTCTGTATACAAAATTTTTCATTTGTTTCTTTTTCTCTTTCTTCTTTTAAGAAAATTATTTTCTGTGGATTTACAAAATAATATTCTGGTTGGAAAAACAAATAGTGATTATATGCTATTTGACAGATAGTAGTAATATACTGTCTATTTTCTTTGAC